ACCCTTTCCCAAAACAAGAATAAATTTTGCCAAGAGTGGTAGAGGAGAGGGGAAAGAGGAGGACATAAAGTGTGACTTCCCTTTTAGGGCGAAGTTTCACTTTAAATCCCATCTCCCAAATCCCTAAGGGCTGGTTCACACTAGCCGACACCAAAATAGTGTGATTTTCAACACAACTTTGGAGTCTGACTTTGATGTGACTTTGAAAGCACGTTAAGGGCTCATGTACACGGGGCATTTGGAAAACTCTTCTGAATGATGGAAACTGACTGCTGGAAATAGGTTAAAAAAACGTCAGTTTAGCCATGTTTGCATTTATGCGTGTGTATGCGCGTTTGTTTTTAGAAGCGTTTTTAAAAGATAACCTCAAGAGACCTTCCCAAATGCCCAGAATGCACTGGAAAATAGTAAATAATGAACTATTTCAGACATTTTAAAGAAATAGAGAGAGCAGAAGCAGAGAGAGCAGTATGTGTTGAGATGACAAGTTTTTTCTGGTTGTATTCACTATGGATCCCATTCCTTCACACGAAACCTGAAACTGACTGAGCTGGTGTACCGGGTCCATTTGGGTACCGGGAAAATTCTTTGCATGCATTTCTGATGATGAAAAAAGGCTCTGGACAACATCTGGATATGGAACAGTTAATAAACGCTTTTAAATGAAAATGCTTATAAAGGGAGTTAACCACATTTACAAGCGTTTACAAGCATTTGGGATTTGTAATGCTGGTAAAAATCTACTCCTGAACTCAAGTTTGGTGCGTTCAAAAAAAAAAGACTGTAAACTCAACTGCCTGTAAAGGACGAGGTGTACATGGATACATAGGAAGACATTAGGGAGAGTTCAGGGGCTGCTGAAAAAAAGGCTGAACAGCTCCTGAACGTCAGTTTATCAGCTGCAGTGTACATGAGCCCTTGCACTGTGTAGAGCTAAAGCCGTATCAAAGTTGTGTCAAAATAGTGCAGGAACCTTTTCTGAAGTCGTGGCGACTTCAATAGTGTCAGTTAGAACTACTCTCATAGACATAAATGGCCTTTCACATGTCCTGAGACATTAGGTCTCACAAGTTGGATCCCAAGTCACATGTGAAAAGAGCTTCATCCTGCACATCAACGCATTTTCAACCACTTGCTGTCCTGGACTGTTTTTTTTACTTTCCCCACCCATGTTAAAATCAGCATTTTTTGCTAGCATACATTTTTTTTTAAAGCAAAGGCCATGGAGAATAAAATACTGATAGTTACAATTTTTTATATGTCACATAATTTTTGCTCATCCGTTTATTAAACACATATTTTCAGGAAAAGAATGCACAATAATGAATTTTAGTGGACACAAACAGGAATATAATACCAATTTTCTGTAAAATATAAAAGATGATGCATGTTGAGTAAATAGATACCAAACATGTCAAGACTCGAAACTGCATGCACCTGAGAAATGGTGACTACGGTACTTAACATTTTTTTTTTTTTTTTTTGACAGGTTATCATGGAAGAGTTAATCATGAATGTTGACCCTGGAACTGTTGCTCTCCCTCTAATGCTCATGGTGATACCTCACATGTGCTGCAATCACTATAGACAAATGTTTGTGGGACCTACACTCTAGTTTTATTAAAAATAATTTTTTTAGACATTTTATTTTTTTAACTTTTTAGTTATCACAAGGAGGCTAACATGTCCCCATGTAATAGCTTTGGGCAGGTGAAAGGTACTCTTTATGGAGATATCAGGGTTCTATTAGACCCCGCCCCCAATGTCTTCTCTGTCCTCCAAAGCAGCTAAAATATCTTCTGGCTTCATTGGTCACAGAGGAAATGGGGGGATGGATGTTCCTCCATCTCTTCTTTGTGAAGCCATTCCTGCTATTTCCTGTGATCCTGGGCTCTCCAGAGAAATGGGAGCAGGGGCGGACTGACCATTTGGAAACTCGGGCACTGCTCGAGGGTCCGGGGTCAGTAGGGGGCCCCATGAGATGCCCTTGGTACCTTTTTCATAGGCTTTTTTGAGTTTGGGCAAGGACACAGGGGCCCCATGACCCCTATTGCCCGGGGGCCCCATGAGTTGTCAGTCCGCCCCTGAATGGGAGTACCCTGGAACCACTGCAAGTGGCAGAAGAGAGGCCATCCTCAGTGATCCACAACCGCCTGGATCACTTTCACTAAACAATAGATTGTCAGCTGCAGCCATGATGGAAAAACCACCTGCTGACTTGCTGACAGGTTGTATGTATTGGTACGATGGTCAGCAAATGGTTGAAATGTTTAAAGGGTTTGCTGTTGGAGATAGTTAAATCCCTTCCTTCCAAATCCTTCTCCTGAGAATCATGGCATCTTTATCCTTAATCAGGGGCGGACTGACTGACTATTTGGAAACTCGGGCACTGCCCGAGGGCCCGGGATCAGTAGGGGGCCCCATGAAATGCCCCTGGTACCTTTTCTATAGGCTTTTTTGAGTTTGGGCAAGGACACAGGGGCCCCATGATCCCCTATTGCCCGGGGGCCCCATGAGTTGTCAGTCTTCCCCTGTCCTTAATTAATGAAATGTCAACAAGGGGAATGTCTATAAGTAAACTAAATTACCCTGTTGACAAAAAAATGAAATAAATGATGTAGCGCTACCTAAAAATATATAATATATATTAACATGCATAAGTGAATACCAAGACATAAACACACAAAATACATGTGATAAATTCTACAATAAATATACGAAAAAAATTATAAGTGACTTGATCCTCATGAGATCAAAAGTAAATAATAATAATAGTGTCTGAAAGTGACCTGATCCTCTGGGGATCCTCTTGTGAAGAAACTGAATAACGATCCACTACGGGATTCAAAGTGATACCAATAACTAAAAGTGTCTATACCAATGATCTCGCAAAGTGGGTGTATATATGAATTGATCCTACATAGGATCTAATGCAGGGGTGGGCAAACTTTTTGACTTGAGGGCCGCAATGGGTTCATATATTGGACCCGGGGGCCGGACCAAGAGTAGATGAATGATGTGTATGTGTCATCCATAGTAAGTATAGTAATATTCCCCCATAGTAAGCATAGTAAATAATCCCCCATATAGTAATTCATCCCCCATAGTAATTCATCCCCCATATAGTAATTCATCCCCCATAGTAATTCATCCCCCATATAGTAATTCATCCCCCATAGTAATTCATCCCCCATAGTAATTCATCCCCCATAGTAATTAATCCCCCATATATTAATTCATCCCCCATAGTAATTCATCCCCCATAGTAATTCATCCCCTATAGTAATTCATCCCCCATATAGTAATTCATCCCCCATATAGTAATTAATCCTCCATATAGTAATTCATCCCCCACATAGTAATTCATCCCCCATATAGTAATTCATCCCCCATAGTAATTCATCCCCCATATAGTAAATCATCCCCCATAGTAATTCATCCCCCATATAGTAATTCATCCCCCATATAGTAATTCATCCCCCCTATAGTAATTCATCCCCCCTATAGTAATTCATTTCCCCATATAGTAATTCATCCCCCATATAGTAATTCATCCCCCATATAGTAATTCATCCCCCATAGTAATTCATCCACCATATAGTAATTCATCCCCCATAGTAATTCATCCACCATATAGTAATTCATCCCCCATAGTAATTCATCCACCATATAGTAATTCATCCCCCATAGTAATTCATCCCCCATAGTAATTCATCCCCCATATAGTAATTCATCCCCCATAGTAATTCATCCCCCATATAGTAATTCATCCCCCATAGTAATTCATCCCCCATATAGTAATTCATCCCCCATAGTAATTCATCCCCCTATAGTAATTCATCCCCCATATAGTAATTCACCCCCCTATAGTAATTCATCCCCCATAGTAATTCATCCCCCATAGTAATTCATCCCCCATATAGTAATTCATCCCCCCTATAGTAATTAATTCCCCCATATAGTAATTCATCCCCCATATAGTAATTCATTCCCCATATTATTTCATCCCCCATAGTACTATTCCCCCCCAAGTAGTAAGCCAAGTCCCCCCTGTGTCAATTCACTTACCTTTGCTCCGCGCATTCCTCTCGCCGTGTTCCCGCGCCGTTCCGGTCTTCAGGGCGGACTGTGAGAGGAGCCTAGCTCCCCTCACGTCCGTCACGCTGCCCCGCCTACACACATCCTGACAGCCAATGTATCACGCTCCGCGGGCCAGATTAAAAGGTCCGCCGGGCCGTATACGGCCCGCGGGCCGTAGTTTGCCCATTTCTGATCTAATGTGATGGTGAACACTGAAACAATAAATTAGAATAGTCCAACTGAGACTGATACATAAACAGTGTCCAAAATTAGGACTGAAGGCGAAAGAAAAACACACAAAAATCCAGGAAAAACTCCTTTTTACAATACCAACCAAAGAATTCCCCCAAAAAACAAATGTCTAACTGTTTGGTTTTGGACAGTTTGGTTTTGGACCGTGTCTATATATCAGTCCCAGTTGGACTATTCTATCTTATTGTTTGAGTGTTCACCATCACCTTAGATCCTATGTAGGATCAATTCATATATACACCCACTTTGCGAGATCATTGGTATAGACACTTTTAGTTATTGGTATCACTTTGAATCCCGTACTGGATTGTTATTCACTTTCTTCACAAGAGGATCCCCAGAGGATCAGGTCACTTTTTCGATCTTATGAGGATCAAGTCACTTATAATTGTTTTTGTATATTTATTGTAGAATTTATCACATGTATTTTGTGTGTTTATGTCTTGGTATTCACTTATGCATGTTGATATATATTATATATTTTAGGTAGCGCTACATCATTTATTTCATTTTTTGTCCATAGATCATTAGGTATATGATTAGATGTTAGCAGCTCTTTTTTTTCTTTTTATATCTGTATTTATTGTTTTAGATAGGAGCTCCGGAGGTTTATACCAATATTATCTTAAATTACCCTATTATTTCATGGATGTTAAGGTTCTTCTGTCCTAATAATTATTAGTGGGTTGTTTATTTGTTACATATGAACAAAACTGTAAAAATGCTTTTTTTAACTCTCTGTTCCTCATACAATAAATAATAGGATTCGCCAATGGCGTCACTACAGTGTATAAAAGTGAAACGGCTTTCTTTGTGTTTGAAAGCTGATCTTTGACTGGAAAAAAAGTGGAAACAATCAGGGTACCATAATAAGTGGACACAACGCTCAAGTGAGAACTACAAGTGTAGAAGGCTTTTTGCCTTCCAGTAGATGTAGGGATTCGGAGTATTGCAATGGCAATAGAGATATATGTTGCGGTAATATACAGAAAGGGTATATAACCTACTGGAATACCCAAGACAATGTTCTGAATTTCAAGAAAAGTGGTGTCTGAACATGAGAGTTTTAGGAGTGGAGCACCATCACAGAAAAAATGGTCAATAACATTGGGACCACAGAAGTCCTGCTTGCATGTATTAACTGCAATGCCCAATATGAGGGTAAATGCTGAGAACCAAGACCAGAAAGCAAGTAGGATGCACTTACGAAAGTTCATGATTGAAGAGTAATGCAATGGATCACATATGGCCACGTAACGGTCAAAGGACATGACCGCAAGAAGAAAACATTCAGTGCCGGCCAGAGATCCAAAAAAGTAAAGCTGTGCACAGCATCCAGGTAATGAAATGGACATTTTCTCTTTGATCGTTACACTCATCATTAAAGGGACAATCACGGAGGTCAGGAGAAGATCACAGGTTGACAGATTACTCAAAAAAAAGTACATAGGAGAGCTAAGATTATGACTCCATGACACAAGAAAAGTAATCAAAAGATTGCCCAATATGGTTACCACATAGAGGAGAAGAAATATGAGAAAGAGGACACCTCTGTAGTTATGAACATTCTGAAATCCCAGAAGATAAATGATGTTGACTGAGGTCTTGTTCATTGACTATAAAAAAAGGAGATATTAGGTAATTCACATTAAAACCCAACTCCAGGTTAACCCCCTATCTCTACTCCCCCCCCCCCCCCTTCCTCTGGCCCTACACTGACCACGTTTTTGGTAATTTACTTACCTATTTCAGATGTCTTCATGCCAGTTACATGATGTGCAGGGTCCTCATCTTCTCCAGCGGTGGGTGGTCCTGCATGATGCAGGGAGCAGTGCTATATGATGCGGTCAGCTTCACTCTCTTCATTATGAAGAGTGCTACGGTGATGCCACCTTAGGGGGTGAGCCCATTCACAGTATGTCCTCAGTCTACTGGGTTAAATTATGTTTAATATATGTATTAGGTTTGAGAACATCTTCTGCTGAACTTGCCATTTGGGAATGTTCCAAAGTGAAGGGGAAAATGTCAGCCCGTGCTGCTGGGGGATCTTTTTGTAAATGAAAAACAAAAGAGCCCTGAGTTGTGGTTTATGAAAAATGCTTAGTAGTGCAGTATGCTACAATAATTTATTTTTATTTAAAATATTAAATTGCTTAAAAAAATTAAAGGAACACTTGAAACCCATCAGATCTCAATGGGGAACAATATCATGGTGGATATCTATACTGACATGGACGGGGTAATGTGTTAGGAATGTAAGGATGCCCCATCATTTAATGGAAATGAAAATGATCGACCTACAGAGGACTGAATTCAAAGACACCCCGAAAATCAAAGTGAAAAAATTATGCAGCCAGCTAGTCCATTTTGCTGAAATTTTATTGCAGCAACTCAGAATGGTCCTCAGTAGTTTGTATGGCCCCCACGTGCTTGTATGCATGCCTGACAACGTCGGGGGAGGGTCCTAATGAGACCACAGATGGTGTCCTGGGGGATTTCCTCCCAGATCTGGACCAGGGCATCACTGAGCTCCTGGACAGTCTGAGGTGCAACCTGGCGGCGTCGGATGGACCACAACATGATATCCCAGAGGTGTTCTATTGGATTTAGGTCAGGCGAGTGTGGGGGCCATTTAGTGGTATCAATTCCTTCATCCTCCAGGAACTGCCTGCATACTCTCGCCACATGAGGCCGGGCATTGTCAAGCACCAGGAGGAACCCAGGACCCACTTCACCAGCATAGGGTCTGACAATGGGTCCAGGGATTTCATCCCGATACCTAATGGCAGTCAGGATACCATTATCTAGCCTGTAGAGGTCTGTGTGTCCCTCCATGGATATGTCTCCCCAGACCATCACTGACCCACCACCAAAACGGTTATGGTGAATGATGTTACAGGCAGCATAATGTTCTCCACAACTTCTCCATACCCTTTCATGTCCGTCACATGTGCTCAGGGTGAACCTTCTCTCATCTGTGCAAAGCGCAGGGTGCCAGTGGTGGACCTGCCAATTCTGGTGTTCGATGGCAAGTGCCAATTGAGTTCTATAGTGCCAGGGAGTGAGCACAGGGTCCACTGGAGGACTTCAGGACACAGCAAACCTTCTGGCAATTACATGTATTGATGTGCCATCCTGGAGGAGTTGGACTGCCTGTGTCACCTCTGTAGGGTCCAGGTATCGCTTCATGCTACCAGTAGTGACACTGATCCTAGCCAAATGTAAAACTAGTAAAAAACAGTCAGAAAAGATGAGTAGGGAAAAAATGTCAGTGGCCTCCACCTGTAAAACCATTCCTGTTTTGGGGGGTCATCCCACTGTTGCCCATCTAGTACACTTGTTGCTAATTTCATTAACACCAAAAGCAGCTGAAACTGATTACCAACCCCCTCTGCTACTTGACTGACCAGATCAATATCCCAGGAGTTTAATTGATTTGATGCTAGACTCTGATTACAAAGTCTTCCTTTAATTTTTTTGAGTAGTGTATTTTTTTTTTTTGAAAAAAAATATATTTCAGGACATTTTTGGAGCTTGAGACGAGACATTATGCTCACTGGGCATCGAAAACACCACTTTTATGGGCTTTGACGTTTGTTTTCTGCCTATAAACACCCCTCCATGTTATAATACATCAAAAACCGATATAGTGGTGCCTCCCTAATTAGGTGGGAACTACTAAAAAGCAATAAAAATAAGCAAGAAAAAGGGCACTTGCTCAATATAAAATGGAATACATGAATCCACAAAACCTATGATGTGATGCTAAAAAACAAAATAAAGTCCACTTAAGTGCATTTCCCAACACCACACTAGTCTATGGATCCTTTAAGAGGATGCTGGACCATGCCAATCTCCCAAAATCTTCTTCACTACTTGTCTACATATAAAAAGTTCACACTCACCAGAGGATTTTGACGCCTTGTTACAGGATGGTCAAACAACACTAGATTCCCCAAGGGTGAATCTCCTTCATTCTGTTGGGTCTTTCAGATAGACTCAGTAATAAAGCAGCAAATATCTATTTAAAAACTTCTACACTAAGTGTAGTATTTATTAACCTCCCTGGCGGTCTGATTATTTCAGATTTTTGGTGCTGAAAGCGGTACATTATTTTGAATGGAAATTTGGCGTTTTATATTGCAGGCCTGTAATTCTTAGGAATAACTCCCTGAAATCTGTCCAAACAAGAGTCTAGTAAACATCCCGGGTATGATAAAATTTGAAACATGAAATCATAAATTATAATTTAATAATTAATCATAAAAATAATAATATAATAATAAATTTAATTCAATAATGTAATAAAACCAAAAACACTGAAATGTGAAATAGAGCGCCAAGTTCGCACATCGCTGAGCTCAGTCACAGAATCGCTTTCAGTGTCTGATGAGGAATTTCCCCCACGAATCATTATCACTCAATTCTGCAAGTGGTTCTGATTTACTATCGCTGTTCTCTAGCCGGTCTAAAACCTGCATTTGACCTAAAGGGACGCTTTTTGGACGCCATGGACGTTTCTCAGTTTCCAGGCAGAAAGAACAGTAAAAATGCAGGCAGGGCGCCGGACAAAGCACTCGGGACAAAATGTATGTGAAATGGTTTGATACAGGAATGTTATACTATGTGATTTTAGTGATTTTAGTGAATGTCACTTTTTGTCATTTTTAAATTTCCCGCCAGTTCCATCCCCCGTACGTCCCGACGCTCGCAGGGGACGGAACCCAGAAGACAGTTGCCGGCATCCGCCGGATTACATTGCCGGGGACACTGCAGGGGGGACATCGCGGGAGCGCAGGACAAGGTAAGTGATCGAGGGATCGCAGAGCAGCGCCACATGGTATTCCCGAGTGTAGCTTGGGGGGGTTACCGCTTGTGGTACTGAAACCTTACCCCAAGCTACACTCGGGAATACCGCCAGGGAGGCTACAGATGGATATTCCAAGTACAAAATATATAAAAAGCACACAATAACATTTGACAGTGACTGCAATATCGGCACCAGTGTACACAGCCTGTGCAAAATGGTATCACGGCATTGCCTCTGTCGACCAGTGTGTGTTCCAAGCCTCGGTTTCGTGGGTTGGACCTGACATCATGTAGGACCTGGAAGTAGCGGTCCCACGCTTCTTCTACGTACGTTTCATCACTTTCTGAAGATGTCACCAGCACACCGAGGATCACCAATACGGGTCCAAAGTTTTAATGAATGATCACATAGTTACAGCAAGGCAACTTTTCAGAGTCTGGCAGGACCCCTTCATCAGGCATGTGACCAAACAAGTTACCTTGCTGTAACTATGTGATCATTCATTAAAACCTTTGGACCCATATTAGTGATCCTCGGTGTGCTGGTGACATTCTCACATGCACCAAATGTTCACAGGAATGACTGCTGTTGGCTGGGAACCACCATGGCTGGGATCCTCACTGATGGATGCACGACCATATTTTAAATGTTTGCACCATTCAGATGTCTTACTGGGGCTGAGCGTCTCATCATCGTATTGTGTTTGAAGTCTGCTGTAGATATCTGTGGGTTTTACACCTTCGTTCGCATTAAAAAATGCCCCGGTGTGAATGAAGCCTTAGAACAGCGGGGCACATGCCCAGTGTGCATAGGGACTAAACATCACCACTGCTATTGTGCTTTTTGCCCTTTTTTTATTCCATGAAATGGGAGGATAAAGCACATATGGGCCAGTCAGGTCAAATCTGGGCAGTGGGGATTCTGCTGTAAGAACAGTGAAGATTACAGGACGATACTTACCAAGCAGTCTGTAGCCAGTACACAGTAAATTTTTTTTCTGTGCAGTTTTGTTGAGAAATATAAATGAAAAGTACTCTTCTTAACACATACCTTTAAAAGAAAAAAAAAAAACTGCTATATTATCCTGTATATATTATGCTGTGTTGTTCAAGAAAATATTTTTTTTTCTAGACAAGAAAAATTTTTGTTTTGTCAAAAGCAGGCAATGCTGATTAGACAATTAATGAATGTGTTGATTATTTTGTTTATTTATTAATTATTTGGGTAGCATACTGTGAAGATATTGTGAGCTTCTAGTATTCCCCCCAGCCCGTGCCCCTCCCCGACTTCTCCATCAAGATCAACAACACCACCATCAGTCCCTCCCCTCATGCCAGGGTACTAGGTGTAATCCTAGACTCTAATCTGTCCTTTCAGCCCCAAATCCAATCACTGACAAACTCATGTAGACTTCATCTCTGCAACATCTCCAAGATACGCCCGTTCCTAACCTCGGAAACCACTAAGCAACTCATTCACTCCCTTTATATATTATATCACGCCCAGGGGCGGACTGACCATTTGGAAACTCGGGCACTGCCCGAGGGCCTGGGGTCAGTAGGGGGCCCCATGAGATGCCCCTGGTACCTTTTTCATAGGCTTTTTTGAGTTTGGGAAAGGACACAGGGGCCCCATGATCCCCTATTGCCCGGGGGCCCCATGAGTTGTCAGTCTGCCCCTGATCACGCCTTGACTACTGTAACTCCCTCCTCACTGGCCTACCTCATCGCAGGCTATCCCCACTCCAGTCCATCATGAATGCCGCTGCCAGACTCATTCACCTGACTAACCGCTCTGTATCTG